ACACCTCACCAACGACCCGAAGAAAGTTCGTGGAAAAAGGACGGAGCGGTTGAGAATATGGCCGACGAAAGACCTGGGAATCATGAAAACACCGAATTCAAAGATATTCTTGGCCCCGGATACGATACCGGTGGACAGAATAAGACTATTGACTCGTAAACACCCGATTGGATGCGAAGAGCAGTAAGACACAAAAGTGGGCGGTTATTTCATTAGACCCATTTATTGAATTAATTTTTCCACTTCTTAACTACTGAACTAGGCTATATTTTCAATGAACGGCAATGCGGTATTGACAAAATGTATAAAGATGATTCACACAGAGCCGTATAGAACTTGCTTTCAACAAACAGCATAATACAGTCGAAGCCAATGCCTGCAAAGCAAATGCCCTGCCTGAGGTCAGGAAAGTCCACAGAGCATTTTGAAATTGGCGCTAGTGGTGTACGGATTCCAGTTCCCGGATATGGATGCGGCCAGAAATTTAAGGTCAAACCGGTTTATCAAACATGACACTGGTTCGGATTTATTCACAAGACCGTTTCGAAAATTTGCCACTATCAATATACTGCATTGTACAGTACTAACCCATCATGAACTTCTATTGTATCTACTCATCTGTGCACCCGGAAACACCAAACTCTCATTTTGGATTGGGTAGGATTTACATATTCAACCCGGGGAAAGAAACGCAGACTTAACCAAATGACGAACCACGCTTCTTGTCCGATTACCACTCCATGTCGATATGGGATTACTGTAGTTATTTATTCGTTTTCGGAGGCATGGACTTGATGTTAGAGGAAGCCGTAACCGACCAGCGGTTACGTGTATTTCTACGCTACTTTCCATGCTCTATATCAGGGGTGGCCAACAAGTCGATCGTCACGTCCCGAGCAGTCGATGGCGTCTGATGTTGAGTGAATTTTCTTGAAATACCCCCAAAAATGCCTCGAATGCCCCAGTTGTGTGTTTTGCAACAGGAAGAATACAGTACTTTACATGCGCAAAATACAATATACACATACGGCAGAGACAATGCATAACAATGTTGTTATGTAAAATCTATGCATACAGTACTGTATTTGAGTCTGGGCAAGCCCGTTAAAGCATATTATCACGTAACAAATGCAAGTTTTTCTGCTGCAAAGGTGTGCCGAATATCGCGGGTTAGACCAGAGTTGCCATATTGGCTTTTCTAACGCCAAATTTCACGATTTTTTTGCTTTTTTGAAACACGTTTAGTAGGCTATGGAAGTCTGACCTTGGTCAGACGAAACGTTACAAAAATTAATTTGTGTTAGTGGGAAGCAAGACTATTGAATCACTTAAATCTTAGAATGACATAACAATTGCAGTTTTTGCAGCCGCTCAGACAGATGTTCAAGCAGGCTTTGTTTTCACAGTTTTGCGTGTAACAGTGTTATTTGTCAGTTTCAGTTATGTTTCCAAAAAATAGTTGTATTGCCATTTTGCCTTCCGAGGAGCTTTAGTTTGGTTGCGGTAATCGAAATTCTCGCGAACGACGTGACTAACTAGGCAAAAATTATCTATCAGTAGACTATCTGTGCAAGCGGCACGTGGTTGAATAATTTGAGTAGAAACAAGAGAGCTATGCTCAAATATATGGACATGTAGCGCCACCCAATGGCAATAATTTTGATGACGTCATAGCGAGTAAAAAAGTTGTTAGCCTTCTGGAGAAAAATTTTATCTTTCCCCACTGAAAATTTCAAAGCAATTGGTCCAGTATTCGAAAAGAAAAGCGATTTTTTTAAAATGATGGAGACAAATAATAACAATAACAACACAAGAGAGCTACGCACAAATATATGGACACGTCAGACCAGGGCGAATCAGTCCTTACCGGTACCTTTGACTCTACCGGTACCCTCAATAAAGTTCTGAATTTCCAGTAGCAAGAATTTTGCAGAATCAAAACGTACAGCCAGTCATGACACTGACTAAAATCCGTGTTCCCATGGATAAAAAATAATACAGCAAAATTTTAGACGAAATATCAAATTTCATAGAATTCACGCGAAATTTTGAAATAAATAAAAGTAATAGCCTTCTAGCGAAAAAATTAATCTTTAACCACTGAAAATTTCAAAGCAATTGGTCCAGTATTCGAAGAGAAAAGCAACTTTTTAAAAACGTGTCAAAGAACAACAACAACAACATAATATTGAAACGATCGTTATGTCCACTACGTGTCAAATAATATTGAAACGATCGTTATGTCCACTAAACGTGTCCAATGATGCTTTCAAACATGTGCAAAAACACAATCATAAAAAAAATTTTAATAGTAAAATATCAGGCGAATTTTTTGAGGTTTATCTATACTTTCTGTATACTTATCAATAAAGTAAGCGGCAAATTGAGTATTGTGTAACAAGCTGCAGTTTTTCTCAATGTGACGGCTGGCATTGAAACCTCGTAGCCGACTGCTTAATTCGTGGTTGAGTTTTTGACAAAGCTAATCTCATATCATCCTCGACTTGCATTTGATTTCGTGCCTTTGTTTTTATATGAAGAAGAGCTGAAAAACCGCTTTCGCACAAGTACGTTGTGGCAAACGGTAGCGGAATTAGGAAAGCTAGTCCAGCCAGTTGTGGATAGGATTCAAACATGGAGCACCAAAACTGGGCTAATAATTTTTCGCAACATAGGTCACGTGCGACTGAATTAAAACGAAAATCAAGAAATTGATCTTGCACTCCTCTGGTACATCGGTTACGTCGGAGTAGACAATGACACAACATGGAGTAGAAGCCTAGCCGGCAGTAAAACCCTTGATATCGAAATCCCGGCGTTCCACAGCATTTTATTGACAATATTTAATCTAAAGCTTTGTATTCTTTTCTACTGTTTTGCAAGACCTTCGCGACCCCCCTAGAAAACCGACACCCAGGTTGGGAACCACTGGGCTATACCAGAGTTGGATCAATTACAGTAATTCAGCTCAATTACAATTACAGCCTTAAATTTTTCAATTACATTACAATTACTCCGTGCAAAAAATATCGAATTACAATTACATTTAAAATTACAACAAAGCAATGCTCAAATATATGGACACATTACACAGAGCAAAGCAGTCCTTACCCTTGACGCTACCTCTACACTCAAAAAAATTCGAGTTTCGCGTAGCAAGAATCAAACCAGACAGCCAGTGTTCCCATGGATAAAATAATACAGCGAAATCTTGGACGAAATATCAGATTTCATACCGAGTTTAGAAATGAAAAAAGTAATAGCCTTCTAGAAAATAATTCCATTCCCAGCCACTGAAAATTTCAGATCATTTGGTCCAGTAATCGAAGAGAAAAGCGACTTTTCACTATGTCAAAGAACAAAAACAACAACACAAAATACCCAAAGTTTTGGTCAAAACGATCTTGTGTCCACTAACCTGTCCAATAACATTTTGGTTAATAGTTACAATTTCACTTGCTCAAAAACTGTTGGATTGCACATGATAAAAATTAGGCTGCGAAAAGTTTTTGACCCCAATAAACTTCTTCTTGCCGTATAAAAGTTACCCGCAATTGAAAAAACTCTTTCTGACGGGGCTGATGTTGCTGTTAGTCCCAAATAATCTTTGGCTAAAGAAGCAAGCCTGGGAACTTCTTCAGATTTCTTCTTCCAATACGTTATTGGGTTTTCGTCAAAATGCAAACCAACGAATAGCATTCGAAATTGCAAAATGAGGTATTGTTTACAACCACGACTGAAAAATTGACTGAGTGTCTTAACGGATGCAAAAGGTATATTGTTACGTCACTTTTTCGCTTCTTGCTGATTGGCTAATGTTACGAAATGAAAAAGGAAGGCGATTCTTGGAAAACACCCCTTGGGAAAATATTTCGCCCTTTTTCGTGTTATTGCGGGCCAGATGAAAGGACGCCGTAGTTTGGTGACCCCTGGTCTAATTGAAAGTGTAATTAAGCCAACATTTTAGCAAAGTACAATTACATTTACACAGAATGAAAATGCCTCAATTACATACAGAAGTAAGATGACTTTCCAAGGAAGGCCTCACACGATTTTAATCGCTTTTTGATACTGCTGTTGAACTCCTTCAAACTTGCGATCCGAAGCTCGCGAAAGATGCTATAGGAGTGTAGAATGGTATCACTAACTTGGCAGACATATTCTCTAAACTTGATGAACTTACCTATACATATATACAGTGAGACGTAATCAATCTAATAAAACTTGTGGAATTGGCCCTGAGCTCAATATTGAGCACTTGGTCTTGCAGAAACGCAGAGAAAGCATATCCAAGAATTACACAATGACATGGAAGTTTCAACGATGTATATGAATTGGATATTCAGAAATGGATAATTGACCCATTCAGTAATATATATGTACAAACATGGAATTCTTGAGTTGGGACATATCTCATTACAATGCGATATTGAACTCCAACCAAAGTTCAGTGTTTCATATTAATCGTTCTGAATCAAATAAAAAGATTCCCATAATAATTAATCCCATGATAACTAGTCAGCTATTTCGCAATCTTGTTGTTAGTCATTTTGAAAGTTGTGTTGTTAAAAATGGTCGAATCCAAAACGAAAATGAAGCATGTTCCCCAGACTTGAAAATGGCTTACATGATATAGGCCTGTTTTGAATAATATACTAAAGCGTGGAAATAAAATACCAACACCAACAACGGTTTACACAAAAATAATGCCGAAATTTGTTATTCAAATTGTATGTTCGGGAGGAGATCTGGAGCAATTAAGTCAACAAACTGATATGCGCATCAAACACACTCCGGCAGAGTAAATATATTTCTCTGTATACATATCTACGTACCTCGTTAAATTTTCAACATAATTCAAGTTGAAAGCATGGTCAATTCTATTGTATTCATTTCACATTCGATTTATTGCCCTTTACAAAAAAAGTTATGTTAATGATCAATAAATATTACATGGATTGTTTGCCCAATGCAAACTGGCACTAACAGACTGGGTACATTAGCGTTTTGATGGCAACCGACCTTTGTCGAGTATGAAAAAGAAATTTTAGTGTATGGGATTTTAAAAAAGAAGACGACATTATGGATTCACTGAATATATGGACCATTACTTTGATATCAGTTATATCACTCGCAAGAATCGGGATGGTAATATTCTATATAAAAGTTTTCTATACAAAACAAACTATGCTAACGAAATTAGACTCTGGGTACATTTTGAATCTGTCTACCTTCGAGGTATATTTTTTATTGTTTTTTAAATCTTAATTTCTACTATACCCTAAATATTTGTGAGAGTGAACTATCTATTAGATGCTATAATAACTGATATGTCTTTAAATGTATATATATATTATATTTTAGGGCGTGTTTACATCAATTTCGGGACCAACTTTACTATACCTAGCTGACAATGTAGGAGCGAGCGTTTCAAAAATTTCTACTCTGTTTTCTGGAAGATCTATTGGCATTTTATTTGGTTCAATATTGGGAGGAGTTGTGAAAAATCTAGTCGGGCCGAATTTTCGACATTTATTAATGCTAGGTATTGTGAACTCTTATTATATTTGTATGATATTTAATCATAATTTACGACAAAAAAACTATTTTTAAACAAATTGCTGATGTTGCTATAATGTTCCCAAGAATAGACTGACCTGTATATGTGGCGTTATATTCATTTTTCAGGGGCTGGAATAGGAATACTTGGTCTTGTCGACCTAGCTGTTCCGTGGATTTCACAGTTTTGGGTCTTGATAATTGATATTACCCTCGGCGGAATAATGTTTGGATATCTGGATGCAGGTGATATCAATATATAAACAATGCTTGCCGTTAACTGTTTAGCGTCATTAGTATAATATATATGTTGTATTAACAATTTAATCTCAACATAGGTCTTCAAGCACTAATACTACAATTGTGGGGAGAAAAGGCATCTCGAGCCCAGATCCAACTATTTCACTTCATGTACAGCGTTGGTGCATTTATCGCACCTTTAATGGGTATGTAAGATTCGATTAATTATAAAAAATGATATAGTGATATAATTCTGCACAGTAATATTTGAGATTGAGGCATGAATCAAACTATCAAAAATATTTTTTTATAGTGAAATGTCAAAGTAGTTTTCACTATCAATTAGATGTATGTTTATGCCGATGTTTTTATATTCCCGTATATATCAGTGGCGGCGCGTGGTCATTTTGACAACCGGGGCAAGCTACTGCGGGACCAAGTCACCCCCATCTACGGGGACAGGATGAGCGCTGTAAGTTCTCCCATCATTTTATGAGTATATGTTACATTACTGCTCGAAAACGATAGATTTGGCTATTTAAAATTGAGAATTATAATAAAGTGCAGCGCAAAACTGCGCAGTGTACGCCTCAGTTTAAAAGAGGTACAAATTCTCACTCTCTCGTCATTCTGACAGAACTCTCTATATTGCGATGAGTATATATAATGCTAGCTTTTTTTTTATATTGAAGCAAGTCCATTTCTTGCCATGGCCGATGAAGAGACTTCAGCAGACGCAAGTTGCCCGAATCAGATATCAATGACAACTACCGCGGCCTATCCGCACAGTAATTTGAGCACGACAGCTATAACGCCGGTCAGTTTTATTTAGACAATGCATTACACAAAGTAATACGCATTGACAGCAGGATATTTTCTGTTAACTTTATGAATCGTATTTTCCCAATCATTTGCAAATCTATATTTAAAGCTTATTATGAAGTAGACAGCGCGTTCAAAGCTATCATCCAATTAGAAACATGGAATGATATATCGTGAATCGATAAACGAAATACTTGAAGCACAATATCAGGAAAACTTGATGAGTTCAATCCCCCAAAAAAACATTCGACCTTTGCTGCTGATAATTTATTATTATTATTATCAAGTCAGTTCATTCAGACTTTACTCACAATTTAATCTACTTTAATGACCATATGACAGAGTTGCGCCTTTAAATACCAGAAGAAAAGCGCGACAGACTGAAAAAATTCACCGTTGCTAGAGCTCATTGACTTAAGCTTATCAATAGCTCGGGTCACAGAAATGTTATAAAATTTATTTGTACATATATATAAGAGCTTGACTGGGTGACTTCTGAGTGTGGTGATCTCCTAAATTGATTTAAAGAACTAATGACTTTAATTTGAACCCTTGTTGACTACGTAAATATTTATTTTTCATTTCAGGCTGCTTTCAACCCTGTCGGCTGGGCTTACGTGATTGCTGCATGTTGGATGGTTTTTGTCTCGATACTGTTGGTCGTTTTAGCAATATTGAATGTCGAAAGTAAAATGTTAACAATAGTGTTTATTTGTATCGACATATGTTCTTGTGGAACTTAAAAACTATTTTGTTGCAGGTAGGGTGGCTTCGTCCATTGAGGATAAAGGTTTTGCGTCAGAAGACCGAGGAGAAGAACCAATTAAGGATGTCATATGGTTATTTTTGTTGGTAGTCGGATATTATTTCTGCAGTGTTTCTACAGAAAATGTGTTTTTCAGTTATATTTATTCGGTTTCTCTCTGCTCTGATTTGAATTTCACTGTAAGTATAGTGCAACTTTAATTAATAAATATATCTCAATCAACTTTTTTTCGTAAGAAAGAACAAATATAGTATCAAGTATTCTAAATTTTTTTTATCTTATATCTTTCTTAAGGTTGAACAAGCATCCCAGATAAACTCAGTCTTCTGGCTTGGACTAGGTTTAGGCAGATTAAGTGGAGTGTTAGCAGCAAACTTCCTCAAACCCAGAACTATTATAATAGCAAGTATTATTGGGAGCATCATCGATATGGTAAGCCTATATGATATATAAGTACAAAATGTAATTATCAAATTCAAACCCACTTTCAACTCAATTGTTGGAATTCGGATTTGGTGTGAGCTAGTTTCCTTGTCAGTATAAATAGTCTAAGCACTAAATCGATTTACCAGGCCGCGGGGTCATGAGGGATTTTGCTTTTTTTGAAAATGATCAAACGGGTAAACACTAATTTGATGACACTGGAGGTTGATGACAATTCTTCCAATCAATATGATCTCATTTAATAGCCCATATTCCAATGTACACCTACCTACACAAGTTCCAAGATTTTATTTATATTTTTTTTATCATTTTGTCGCATACATTTAATTTTTTTATGTTTTACAATGCGTACTATAAAATTTAACAAATTTTGCTATTATTCACCATCATCATTAACTTTCCCATTCAGATTTTTATGTGCATTTTTGGTGAACATACTGCGTGGCTGGCATGGCTCGTTTCCGCATTACATGGATATACTACTGCAATGCTCTACCCTTCTGGTAAATTGAAATCACTTAGCCTTCACATTTCTAATTTTGTCGGGTATGCTTTAATAGGATATTTTTCAATTCCATGCTCTCCAGGTCCACAAGAATTGTTTACATGTTATTTATGTTAAATGCAGTTATTTTGTATGTGATAACAATAATTAAATAAAAACTCACAGCACGACGAGAATTGTGGAACAGATTTGCAAGCATGCTTAATTTTTAAACCGAATCTTCGATATCATTATCTGCGACCCCGCTATAAGATTGAATAATAATCTGACCACCCAAACAAAGTTGATCGAAGATTTACGAATAATCGCGATGGGCACTAAAACTACAGCTGCTCATTTCAAAGCCTGCCTAAAACTTTAAACGGTCTAATAAACAAGAGAACTTTCTCCCAAACAGAACAATTTCTGGTTTCATATGGGTACAAACTAGCATATTATGTTGTTACTCCAGTTGGAGTATTTACCTATGTTTGTTTTTGTACAATGTTGTAATGAAAAAGTATTACAGGGTCATTTAATTACATTTTTTTTTGAATTAGTAGCTCGTCTTCATTTTTTAGTTACATATATATATATAATAGGAGATCACACTGTCAACTGAACACGTAGTAATTTTATATCTTTTTTAAATTTAGGAGTTTCTTGGGTGTCGCAGATAACTAACATATCCGGTACGTATATGTTTGTCTGTAACATCGGAAATGCTGTTGGATCATTGACAATGCTTCCATTAGGAGGATATTTATTTGACATTGACCCGTTTAGTGTGGTGAGTTATTCTTTTACTTTGTTTCATTTATCGTATTTTCGGTAGGATGCGATGACCATGATGAAACTGGTATACCGGGATTTTATGGTAATGAAATTGTATTTAAAAGATCCTGCTGAATATAGCAACTTCCCCTCGTATTTTTTGTTTAATATTTAGATTCCGCCACACATGGCGGAATCGCTCAACAACTCTTGATGAAATTAATATTTATACATACTGTAGCCTATATCAAAACGAGTCGAAGTGGTTCATTTTCCTCGAGAGAGAGAGAGGGGCTTTAGATGCAAGTTTACAATAAAGTGAAACAATTTTGACATGAAAACTATAGATATATTTATGCGCTTCAAAGTGCCCCTATTCATTGTTTTTACTGATTATATGTTAATATCCAGGCAAGTTAGTTGGCATACATTAGACGGTTTGTTCAATTATTGTATGAACGTCTCACCACATCGGAGATGAAGTGGTTGAAATTTAATCGAACTCACAAGATAAAATGAGAAACTATAATCAATTTATGATGCAAAAATAATTTAAGGAGACAAGAGATACGCAGATTCCTCCCAATAACCAGTTTGTAGTTTACAATGAACCAGCATATAATTGAGAAAGTTGAAAATTGAGGTTCTATTTGACATGTATTTATTTAAACGTGGAAATTAATAAAAGGCTTCCTCCGTTTATTAATGCTTAAATTTAAAATATACCCGCAGTGTAGTAAAAATTTACCATAGAATCGCCCAAAGCGCCGATTCCGGAAAAGTGATTTTAATGCTGTAAACTGAGGTCCGATTCGGACTTCTCTGTCATACACCTTCTTTGTTGATGGCTCCAAACAATCTTTAAACCTAAAAGGATCGATCTCGTTAGACTCGAGATAGTAAAAGAAGCAGTATGCTTAGCATATGACTTGCATTTCATTTTTGCTAACATGTTACTTTATTAAAGGCCGGAGAGTAATGTTATGGAACCTTCTTCATTAGAGAGAACGCTGACGGAAAAATTTGAATATCTGAGAATCTCAAGTGTTTATTTTACGTAAATAATAGATAAAAAATAATTAAAACTCCATCCATATTTCAGATGTATCTTGTTCTGATCCTAGCAGTGGTCAACGCATTTTTCTATGCAGCGTTGTTGTATGTTGGGAAGAGACACAAGGAATTTCTGCGAAATAAACAAATCGACGTCAGCACCGAACGTCCAGAGAAAGATAGTGATTATATGGAAGATTGTAAAACGGAGAATTCTTCTATATCCCACGGTACATCAGCAATGACAAAACTTTAGATCTAATGAATGTCGATGACAATTCAACTTTTGTTTTCTTTACAGACGATAGATAATATATTCTTGGCAACACTAATTTACACGGGATTCTTAACTATTTGTTTCATTGTTATCGACGTGACAATGTTTGTATCTTATATTGTATGAAATACATATTACCAAAACATTGCATTTGATTTAATTACATCACTTGCAGTAATAAATGCCTGTAAATCAGTGGTTCCGAAATTGCGGCCCGCGGGCCAATTACGACCTGCGTAAAGATTTAATATAGAAATATTAGTCTCAAAACCTGGTTTAATATTATCTTGGGGCAGTAATTGGTTAGATAAATTTTATAAAATACCCTAAAATACTTTAAATAAATTTCTTAAAGCAGAAAGTTGATTTTTAACTTGATCCATGGCTTTTCCAGCATGGACAAACATCTCTCTTTGTTAATTGCCAAGATTACCATGAATAATTCATTTTTGCAGTACCTCTACTAAACCACAAAGTTTGCATTACAAATCCAGCCACATGCTTCAAAAATTACTCTATAACAAGAATAACATATTGTAATGTAAGGTCACACAACATGGCTATTAAATTTAAATCCTTCGTTGGCATCTAATGGTGTTCGAATTCTTTTGGATGTATCATCACACTCAGAAGTTTAGTGCCAAAATCAACATAATGAATATATATTTTTTCTGATTACAATATCATATATACCTACCTACTATTAAGATTTTTATAGTGCAATAATATACGAATCGGACAGCAATATTTTACAATTTCATATATCACTATGCCACATTACTATGTGATTTACCTAACTGTTTCTTGTGATCTACCTTAATAGATTAATGATAAATTCAATTGCAAAAAATGTTAGAAAAACTAACTAACTCTATGTAGACTACATACTAACGCAGCACACTGTACAATTCGTATTTTTCCTATTGAAACTATAATGATAACTGAGGGGTCAAACACCTGGTCTACAGCTCTGCTGTCTCCAGTTTAGTTACAAGGCACAAACAACAGAATGGGTACAGTACGAGTCAGAAGCCATGTAGGCTAATGCAGCACACTGAATATTGTAATTCAAATGGTTCAAAAAAATATAAACTAGAATAGACATCAAAAAGGCCAGAACGCCAAACTGAAATTCTGACCTCAAACGTGTTTTAAAAAAGCCAAAATTGGTAAATTTGGCTTAAAAAAGCCAATATGGAAATATCGACTCGAATCAGTAGCGTCTACATGCGGAAACAATATTATTACAACACAATTACACTTAGATCTTGTCGATGGTGACGAACAATAGGACATGAGGATTAGTAGATCCTTGGCTTATTTCTCATTCATAAACTGTGACCGAATGGGGTGAAAGCACGCAACAATTCGATGATCATTTTGCGAAGCGTTTTTAGTGCAGTAAAGGATTTTATTGAGCTCATAAAGCGGTGCACGGACAATGAGCTTAAAAATCAACGCCGCGCAAAGCTTGAAGTATTACCTGCGTTTCGTCTCTTGTAAGTCGACAGCCTTATTTAGTTAAGGTGCAATAGTTCGTGGTATAAGAATACAGTTTATTTCATACACAATATACTTTCAGCAGAACAGGAAAACTAGATAAGAGGATTGTTTATTCCAGACGGGACAGCTTGAAGCTTTTGTACGAAACGACCATTGCCGCAAATATATTACTTAGAGAAAATCTCTTGCAGTGTAATCTAACGGTGACCGTACATTTGAACCCATGTGTATATTCGCGGGTTCAATCTATATGCGGGTGCTAAACCCATGGGTTAGGGTTAGTATGGGTTCAAATATCCGTAAACAACAAAAATTTCCATAAGTGCAATAGTATGCCGGTGCAATCGTCGTGGGTTCAAATGTACGTGGGTTCAAATGTAATGGAACCTAATCTAACACATTAATTGTTTTGCAAAAGGGCTTATTACGACCCCAATGAACTGAAAAATACGTGTAATTTATGAAAACTTTTGCAAATATAGAGATTCAATTATAAAATTATAGCCTTTATTACAAATTTGGGTTAGTACATCACATATTAACTGAAAATAATTTAATAGACCATTCTAGCATGACTATTACACACGATTGAGTTACACAAGAATGAGTTCCAGAGAGTTTCAACTTCACTGAACACTAAAATAATTTCCATCAAAAATCTTCATTGGAGCCATAAAACAGTATGAAATTCTTTCTGTTTGTACGTAAGAAAAATGGTAAGTCTTGTATAGCAGATTAGATTTCTTTATTGATTTGAAAACATTCTTCGCATGTCTGAATAAAGAAAGACAGGACTATCATTAAAATGAAAATAATAATATGACCAGTAAATAATGTCACATTCGTGTTCCCTACTTGCGATACTTTCCCTCGGGGTTACCGATGCTACTTTCTCTTGAATGTTTGGCTATCGCAGCAAATTGTTATCATTAAGCATGCGAAGCGTTTTCAGAATCGTTTCTTTTTGGTTTTTGAAAATAGACGAAAGTTGGTGGTCGGGCAAAAGGCTATTCTGTATCGTCGCATTTAACAGCGCAAAGATCAATCGCTTAGTCGCTATCGCATGCAATGTATTTACAAAAATGCCTGGTTGAATAGAATTTTTTTAATTAAACCGTGTCGATATATTTAGTATTGGAAAGATTAAATTTTCGACGACATTTCGTATTCTTTGCCTTCGCTTTAACGGCAAAGAAGGTTTTGCCCTCTTGTAAAAACCGCGGGTCTTACTATCAAAGTTGTAAATACGTAAATAATCCTGCGTCAAGGCCGATTAATATCAGATTGAAACGCCTTTTAAATATTCTCCAGCAAAAATGTTTAAGTGAAAAATATTGACCTTATTTTATAGTTGCATAGTATATGCATAAATATAATTTTCGTTGCTATTTGGTAAAGTAAACGATAAATAACATGTGCCCACTGCAGAATCAATGTAATCAGTAATCCACAAATTTACTACTAATTTTGCATCATTGTATTTCCTTGGTAGCAAAGCGAGCTTCAGATAATTGTAAATCCTTACAATGATATCAAGTTTCCGTTACTCATTACTTTGTATTCGACTTACGCACCATAAGATCTGCAGCGTCATGAGTTACATAACCCAGACGCACAATATGTTACGTAAGTGAGTAAGTAAGTGTGCACACGACCTTCTTAGCAGTCGACTTATTCATAGTAGCTAACAGATAATCTGCAAAGAATTTCAGTTCGTTTAATTAACTAATGAAAAGGGTGGTCATCGATCTAACGCAGGGCAGTTAGTTGATCAATATACATAGTATAAACTGTGCTGGTTTTTTTATTTCGCGTGTGCGCTTTCGTTTTGATAATTGGTGTGAAAATTGAATGCTGATTATATGATTAGAAAAACTTTTGGGAACCCGAAACGACTGATCGGCGATCGTGTACAAATGTTTTTATTTATAGTGGTCTCCGAAAATGTTAGTCGCAGATTTTCGATGGGCATACCTAGCGACTGTCAATTTTACAAAGTGCGTTCGATTTCAAAGTTTTCAAGCATGGAAATGACGTAATGCTGGTGAAGCTGTAATTAGCCGTGTCAAATTTTGGCATCAGTGGCACGATTCAGTGGAAATGCGTGACCGGGCGTATACAGTACGTATATGTATTATCTAAGAGTTCTGATATGCCGTTGTCGTCGATAGCGTCACGCATACCGAGTGAGCTGTTAGTATGAGTATACAGCTTGCAGCAAAGTTTGCAATGCTGGAATTATTGGATCAATTTAATAGAAAATTAGCGTTTGTGGGAATGTATATTGAGATGTAGTTCCCTAACAACTTTATCTTCAACTGATGTGAAGATACGGTACGCTTTTAATGTTTCATGAACGGCCTCAACCTCTGGCGATCTTATGTTGCTAATTTTCATGCACGTATAAGGATTTAGGTAGTGAATTATTCAGGCTATGCAAAACGACCCTAGAAACTATAGTATATGTGCAACATGACATGCAAAAATTGTTTATAGTTTATACGAGAGTTTAAAGCGAAGCTGCGTAGCCTCGACATAATTGTACTGTGTGATCGTGTGCGTGTTGGCGAGTAAAGGCAATTGCATTGTCACTGGCGCGGGAAACATAATGGTTTCGAGTTTTGTTTGCATTTGTATCTTAATATTATCGACTGAATTCTTTACTAGGCTAGGTCCCAACGATCGTACGACGAACCTTTTTATTCATTAGATTTATGCTCGTATAAACAATTTTTGGTACTCCTGAAGTATGTGAGCCAAGATGACGGACACCGGAACTTAGTATGTGTACCAGGTTATTAAGATTAGACCATATTTTCAGTTACAATTACTACGGGAGTCACTTGTCTATAGTCACCGAACTCGTAATAGATTTAAAACAAGGAAAATTGGAATAAAAGTATGGCCTAACGCCCCAACCCTGTAACCTGGTACACATACTACGTTCCGGTGTCCGCCCTCTCGGTTCACATACTTCGGTAGTACCCAATTTTTATAAGCCAGACGATTCATATGAATTGCAACTTATCCATATCTTATTATCATGTATTGCGCTGCATGGTTATAACATCTGCAAAATTATACTTTTTAATCGTGTACTATGTTTCGGCAGTTTCACCATCACATTGTATATGTCAGTAGGCTTGGTTGTAAAATGTCCGTTCTACCGACAGTGTCGTATAATGGATCAAACGAATCGGAGATAAACAAGATTTCTGAAACGGATAAAAACCCCAAAACGGCCCAAGGATCTGTTATGAGTTTCCACGAAATCTCATATGTTGTTGAAATAAAGCAGTCGTGTTGTGGAATCTGCAGAAAGAAAACAAAAAAGAAAATTTTAAATGATGTAAGCGGTATTATAAAACCTGGAATAAATGCAATCATGGGACCAACAGGAAGCGGTAAATCATCTTTACTGGATGCTTTGGCCCGCCGTAAGGATCCTGCTTTTTTAAAGGGACAGATATTACTCGATGGCAAACCATTACCTAAAAATTTTCAGTATATAAGCGGGTATGTTATACAGAATGATTTGATGCTTGGCACAATCTCAGTCCGCGAAACGTTGTGGTTTTGTGCTAACTTGCGTCTTCCTCCAAGCATCTCGCATCAGGATAAAAAACGAAGAATAGAAAATGTTATTGATGAGCTGGGACTGAAATCGTGCGCTGACACCAAAATAGGAACAGAGATAATACGTGGTATATCGGGAGGTGAAAAGAAAAGAACTTCCATTGCGTTGGAATTGATTTTGGAGCCCAAAATACTTTTTCTAGACGAACCAACGACTGGCTTGGATGCGGCCACTGCTTGGTCGGTTATGCTATTGCTGAAAACTTTAGCTAAGAAAGGAAATACGATAGTATGTTCTATTCATCAACCGCGGTATAGCATATTCAAGCTATTTGATACCCTCACATTACTATCACAAGGAAATGTTGTGTATCATGGACCCACTTCTGACGCACTACCTCATTTTGAAAGTGTCGGATATTCTTGTGAACCACATGATAACCCTGCTGATTTTTTCTTGGATGTGCTAAACGGGACTCATCATATATCCAGTGATGAAATCGAAGTAACATCCGCTGTAGACGAAGAGCAAGGCGCTCGTACACCATCCAATATTGCAAACAGTCTTGTAACTGCATTTATATCGAGTGAAAAATTCAATACTCTAACGAGAGAGTTGAACGAGTATGCAGGATCAACGAATAAAATAAAAGTTAAACATTCAGGGAGCATGTATGCAACAAGCTTTACTCATCAACTGGGAGTCCTGCTGAAGAGAGCCGCAAAAAACGCTATTCGTGACCCACAAGGTCTGATTGGAAATATTGTGTTAAATATTATCATCGGTGTAGTGTTTGGCTTGATATACTACCAAGTAGACAACTCTCCTGATTCCGGAATTCAAAATAGATTAGGCATTCTCTTCTTCATCTGCACAAATCTTCTTTTCGGATCTATTGCAGCAATTGATGCGTTCAAGATTGAGCGTGAAATATTCATCCATGAGCATGTTTCTGGATATTACAGAGTAATTTCTTATTACTTGGCAAAAGTATTAGCAGATCTTATTCCGCTACGAACGATAGCTCCCACAATTTTTTGCGCCATCACGTATTGGATGGTTGGTTTGAAACCAACTGCGGGGTCTTTCTTTCTTTTTGTATTGCTTGCAACCTTGGTTGGGTATTCATCGATTGGAATTGGTCTTTTTTACTCTGCGACATTTACTAAGGCAGTGGCGGAACTACTTTTGATTCTTACTTTTGTATTTACCGTCATGTTTTCTGGCCTCCTTGTGAACGTAGACACAATACTTCCGTGGTTATCCTGGTTAAAGTATTTGAGCATAGCAAGGTATGGATTGGTAGGATTATCAGTGAATGAGCTGTGGGGCCAGAATTTTACATCTTGCAGTGCAAATCTGACTACATTTCAATCCTCAATTTTTGCATCAAGCGACGTTGTTGAAATTTCACGACCCGACAACGAAACAGTGTGCATTTCCATACAAGGTGATGAGTATTTACACAGTAGCTTGTCTATCGGAGCAAGCGGATCAGAAATTAATTCTTGGGATTTATGGCAGAATGTAGTCGCACTGGCTTGCATAGCTACAGGACTCTATACTTTGACTTACATACAACTTACGCGCATCAAGACGTACTCCTAATTTTACGTATAATATATATTTTTTTAATTAAATTCGTTTAAACACAGCCAATTATAGAAAATTTGTTGTAGTCATTTTTGCTTTCAGTTTATGCAATAAAGCGAATTTGTATAGGCGGAATATTGTTTGGAGTAACAATTTCATATCACACATGACAGCTCTTCAAACAGTCTATCTTCTCCGTTTATTTGCAAGAATCACATTTTTATATTCGTTTCGTATTATGTATTTTTACAGTCATTTCGCAAACGTTGACTGACCAGTGACAAAATATTATACAATCGAGCCATTTCCTTCTGTATAAATTAGTTCCTTCTGTATAAAGTGTGCCTCGGGCTACTGCATTCCATCTTAATTAGGTTTTTGTAAATAGCCCAAATAGTTTTATGTTTGTGCTCACTATAATATGACGCTTTTCTACAAACTTTTGGATTGTATTTGTATACTTTTTTTTTCTAAAGAAACTTATATATACTAAAACTTGACGTATCTTTCTACAAATTAATGATGATGTTTCAAAGTAATGACTGGTTGCTATCATACTGAATGGGGTAAAAAGACGTGAACATAATTATTTTGCCTTCCGTTTAACCAAAAGTGATCAAAATACTATTTTGGTTATTACTATCAATTTATACACTGGTTAAAATGAAGAGAACCTGAACATATTTGTCTTGTCTTCTTCTGTAAAACAAGCCCTAGATAGATCATGTCTCTGTGGTATACATTTTCGCACGTGACCATGGAATGGGAATCCGCTACTCAAAAAAACAAAAATAGGACAATTTTATCGCAAAGATATGTATATATTACTATTAGCAGTAGTCTCTATCAATGTTGAAAGTCTTGCTCAAAGTTTCCGGTTGTGTTCGCAACGGAGCTTGAATTCAACCAACAAACGATCGGATATTTTACATAACGTAAAATGCTATTTGATTGGATTTTGTAACTTTTTATACCACTTCTGACAATGCTTTCAAATTGAATATTTAAGTATAGAGTTTGCCCGCTAGCATTTCTTTCGAAACTGTCATACGCTGGGTTGTTGCCATGCAGCAATAAGCCAAAGTTTACGCTCACATGGCAGTAGTGAAAGATATAAGTCATAATCTGAAAAATCATATTAAAATGAGCAAATTGTAACGTGAGTATAACTTGCACCAAACTTTAATTTGATTAGTAGGTCAACAAATTACTACCAATGGCCAACAGTTGTTTATAGAAAAGAAAATCTCAATTTCGTTGTTGTGAGCACAGCATTAGTAAATTCATCAGCTGTTGTATGAAACATTATGAAATCATATACTCTGCAACCCACTCTAAGTACTGCATATCTACAACGAGCGGATACTTTTTTATATGTGATTATGTGCAAATAGCAACTCAGCGATTCAATACATTTACTTTACACTTGTTGTAAGTTATTTCTCATATTTCACTCAATAGTCATTCAGAAATTTCTGCAAGCATAAGAGTTTAATAAACACAGTAGAGGGTAAATATAAATATTACGGTAAATACCGCACTACCAGCAAAATTGCAGCTAAAACAAATCAAAATTTCTCCAGATCCATAAGGTCTATGACAAACACACAGGCACAATGTCACCAAAATATTAAAAAAAACGAAAGAGATGTAATATGAAACATGCGTGCGCACATGTCGTATACGTATAGCAATGTTCTCAATAGTTTGATGAAAACAAAACATACGGTAACGGAATCAACGTTGGACTCACAAAGGCTCCATCATAGGACCACTTTTTGTCTAAGAACTTAATAAAGAGTCCTTGAGGTAGATGTTTTTTTTATAGAATTTGAGGTATATATAGCCCGCCACAAGCAGTAGGCCTATCCGGAAAATCAAATGAAGATTGCAGCAGAATGCTATTTGTACCTCTACATCTCCTTATAACAATCACATATATATATTTTCTATGGGGTGCTTCGAATGAAGGGAATATTCATTCGGGAAGGAATAGTCAGGGGTGCCTGAAGGGTGGTGGCCAACAAAAAATTTATACATTTTTTAAATGCAATTTTCCAGCATTCGCGATTTTTCAACACCATTTTGCTCTATCCTAACGATTAACTGAAAACTCCTGGCTTGCTTTCAATAATCCCTTTCACCAAATAGGTAGATGAAATTGCGCGCTTATATGTCTTGGATAACTTCGACATCGAAGTATGTCTGTAGCGCAATTCTTCAAGACAGCGGTTCCCAAACTTTTTGTTCGTGCGGCGAAAAAAATGCTGCTTTCAAATTAAACTCAATTTTGTGATTGTTAATGTGTACTTTATGCTTTTTAAAGTTTGTAAACATCTAGGGCTAAGGAATAAAGGCAAAATGTCAACTCTTCAAGGTAAAATGAATTTATTTATTCACATACACAGCATTTAAAATAAGAAACAATAGCATATTTATAATAAATACAATATATATGCAAAATACTCAATCCTAGTTGTGTACTCAATTTTAGTTGTGTTTAATTAAAACAATTCTGTTAATTTTCGCGTCGCACTCTTTGGGAACTGCTGCTTTAGGATATTGTTAGATATCAGTGGCTACGCTTCCAAAAATTTTGGGCTGGCTACGGTATTTCAGTCTAAACAATTTTTTTTTTGTGGAAGATATTTTGCTGAATAATGTCATTCATGGACAATAGATTTATACAATAAAGGTTAATTCATCATCAATGACATTGTGCGAATAAAACGTTATTTTCCAATTTTGAAACTGCATTCGCAAGGCGGCACGAGCGAGGTCTAACGTATAAGCAAAGTTCAAACAACCTAATCTATCCTATCTATTGGCGACAATAATCTGTGGCGTGGGACTATACTAATTCAAGAACTGCATTTACAAGGCGGTACGAGGTCTAACGTATACGCAAAGTTCAAATAACTCAATCTATCTATTGGCGACAATGATCTGTGTGTGAGATTAATTGTTTTAAAAAAAATAATGATACAACGATGTTTCTTATCAAAATTATTTGCTAGACCCAATTCAAATTGAAGAAGCCCAGAACAGACTGAAATGAATGAATTACCTACCCCTTGACGCTTCACGTGTAACGTGTATGTCATATTGAAGTAAACAAAGACGTCTTAAAACAATGTTTGCCCAGAGAACACTTGAGACATCTTGTTGTACCTTGTGCCTTCATAAGTATTTTGCCGAGTATTTACTCCTGTCATGGGAATATAATTAGAACATAATCATGCGACAATAATAATACTCTTGAACGACTGTGAATAAGAGAATTATATTAAATCCTTGTTAGATCGCATGAAGTTTAATCAGTTTAGATTCAGTGTATTAGTCAGTTCCCTTCAGCCGTGAAAGCAATCGATCGGTACGCAGAGATGATTAAACTGATTTACAAGGCTCCCTGGTTATAGCTGGTTCGTTAGTCAAAGTCATGTTATGAAATTGTAAGGAAAACAATGGTCACGTTCAGAAAATTTATATTAGTTGGATATTAGTCGCTCGTAGATGCCGTATTGCTTTCTTTTCATCAGATGCGTATAGTTTCGATAGTGAACTTTTGAAGGTATCTTTACGCGAAGCAATATGTATTATTATTCATTTTCACATCCATATCCATCTGAGTAATTTGTATACAAAATAAAGTATTTTTGTAGGTTGATCGTTTTTTTTTTTTGAATTTCGGATAGTTATCATTGCATTCCAGCAGGATAGGGTTAACGAAGGAGGGGTCAGGTCTGCAGGCTATCATCCCAAGCATGTTCACCGATGCCAAACTAAACAGAGATAGTCTAGTCCAGCGGTTCCCAACCTTTCTACCCTGGCGGACCGGTAAAATTAGATTAAATGTACTCGCGGACCGGCAAAAATTGAAATGGCCGTAACAGAAAAGAATAACATATATTTGCGTCTTATAATGCAATGTCGGGCACTCAATATGCTTCTAGACAAAAAAGCACACTTTAAAACATTTCACACGAAGAATAACTATCAAATAATGTGCCGACCAAAAATTACAAATGAGTGAAACATAAAATAATACCATATATTTGCGTAATGAAATGCAGTGCTGGGCACCCATTATGCGTGAGAAAGGCACGCATTAAATTCTCACATTAAAATAATGCACAATTAACTTCTGTGAAAATTTTGCTGCTGTTTCGTTTCCAATACAAGATTGCGAACGAGGCAAAGAAGTTTTTGCAACACGTAGCTCTGCAGCCGCGTGCCGATTTCCTTGCCTCGTTTTAATCAAAGTGAGGTTTTAATTGAATCGAGTGATGAGAATGTTTTTTCGCATAACGCAGTAACTGGCTGAAAAGACGAACCACAGTTTGATTGCTCGATTACTTGGCGATGGGTATTCGTTATCAAGAGATATCTAAAATTGTGATAAGTAATTCTTTTTCAATCTGGACTGTAAAGAAGAATCACAATTTTAATCAAGCCTTTTCTTTTTCATTGGGTTCATAATATTAATCCCTCTGCAGTTAATCGACGCCTCAAACGGACTGAATTTGCATTACAATGACAAAGTCGTCGATAACTTGGCGACAAGCTCAAAATCCTACTGTGTCTGGAAAAGATCTCTGCGGCTCATGCTTTTTTTTGCGTGTATCGCGTGACCACCTGTGGGGTCGCAACAAGTTCATATCTTACTGGATTATTATACTGTTCTTGACTGTTTTCTAGTTTAAACAAGGAGATATCCATTACGTTTCATATGAATGGTCATATTAATCAGGAAAAGCACGCAGAACAGAAAAGGCACGCGTGCCGATTTTTAGGCTTCTTAATTTTGCAAGATTTGATGGAGCGCATTCGCAATGAATCGGAGCTGGAAAAGCGAAAAGTGTCAGTGATCGGCGCCAAGATGTCGCGTAATACGGCGCCAACATGTCGCGAAAGACGTCGTAATATGACGGCAGAAGAGAACTGCGTAATGAGCCAACGCAACTTTGTCTACGGTAAAGCGATTGAAACGGCATAAAAACAACAAGACAACAAAATTTCTTGCGGACCGGCAAAAAAGCTTCGCGGACCGGCACCGGTCCGGGGACCGGCGGTTGGGAACCACTGGTCTAGTCCAGTGATCTTTGTCGGAAAACTAGCTAGTGAAACAATCTCAAATTCACACGTATTATAAAACCAAATCAATGATAGATTCATATCAGTGATTGCATCTATCGGTACGGTCTACTGTGACAAAATAGCTGTAAATTTCCTGCTAGACGGGTGACATCCCCTTTCCTGCTGACATCCCCCTATAACTTTAGTTATGTGGAATCACTATTACATGTGTGTAATTCACAGCTATTATTTATAGCATCAGTTGCTCTCGGTACTTCAGCGGTCCGCTCCGCCCGCAAATCGATCAGAGATCAGTCTCCTTTTCTTCCGAGTGCGCGCGACTTGGCATGGGCAAATTTACATATCGAAACCTCGTAATTTCATTTGTTGCACTCTTGATAGTGCAGGTTTGCAAACACCACAGAAACATACGTATGTTTATTTTCGAGGTTATGTCGTTTTGTTTTCTAATTATTTCGGCGAACCATCAAATCCAGTGCATGAAAAGGGACCATCAGTATTCGCCTGTGGGTCAGAGACAGTTGAAATAAATAGTTTCTTCGTCTAAACTCTAAATCCAGAATACCTGTCGCTCAATATTCAAGCAAATACCTCGTGTATTTGTCATTTTATTTCATTTTGGGTTGATTGATGAACAATATATGGAATGAAATTTGAACGCTACATTTGTGTACAGTATATTCCTAGGTCTATTGAATGTTCGGTCCGGCTCTGAATCGCAAGAGTTAGGATTATTGTCGTGTCTCTCGTCAGTGTCGACTGTTCAGCCCTTAATTCAAGGAAATACTTGTACCTCATTGAAAATATTATTGAATACAGATAGCCAATGTTTGCATATAGTGACAACATTTTCTTTTCTGCGATTACCCAACAAAGCGAGCAATATTTAGTATGGTAACAAAAGATATAGATAACAATGGTATTTAAACATCTGGAATGATCCACCCTTCAAGATATACGTTCGGGTAATTTAGTCCAATGTTCATTCTTGCTGAATGTAATTATTTAATGAAGCAGGCAAGATTTTTAACGATTATTATATCATTGGACGGTCCTTCTAGGATATATATTTTACCTCTAAACACGATTTGTAGTTCAGTACCTAATTTTAGAAAAAAATAAATGTTCATTCTTCATACAGATCTTATATGGGATCGATTCTCTAAATATTTGACAGAGCATAGGGCTTAGTATATTTTGTAACTGCGCTACTTGGTAATCCACTGAGCACAGCGTGAGATCGGGTTTCCATTTTCAATTATGGCGATGAATAGGTTACGCTAATAACATAACAGATGGTTGAATACTCACCACTCTCATTGTATGTATTTAATTGTTTACAATCAGTTTTATATTGAAAATGGAATGTGACTCTACATGGCCGACTGAATCAACGTATTAATTTTTAGCTCTGGTTTCGCAAATATAAGAATAAATAGTTGCTTTCTTAGTGTCGCTGAAGTTTAGTACATTTTATGCCGAGAATATACGACAATGCAAGTTTAATGTTTGAAGTGTTACATGAGCTGAGGGAAGGTAAATTGTAGGAAGGCTTAGGAATAATTTATTTTATTGATTACGATAATATGAGTAACCGTATGCGAGTCGTAGGGATTTGGGTTGAACAGCCGAATATTTGTGGCGTTTATGGGTAAGAATTCTGTTATCAAATGAAGCTCGATGTATGTATTGAAACACATTTCTGACGCAACGCATATGGCTTTTGTGCTAAAACATTTTAATTTGCTTTTGCTTGCTATCGACAAATATTTCAGAACTGCACTTCCTTCTCGGTGCATCTGAAGTTCTTTTTCAAACATTCTAGTACTGCTAATAGTTTATCTAATAAAAATTGAAAATGAAGACTTTACAAAGAAAATTTCAAAAAATGTTACTACTCGTTTCCCTATGTTACTATGGCAATCGGAAATGAGATTGAATAAAAAAAAAACGAATTGATCAGGTGTCGTAAACTGATTCACGTGGTAACTTTAACTACTTAGCCATCTCGTGATATTGTCTGCCTCGCCCGGCCTTTAAGTTTAATTCACAAGGCACGTTTATTGCTTTGAATTTAATTCATACGGCACGTTTATTGACACTAGACTTTGAGTTCCACCCTCTCGTAAACGGCCTTAAGCTCAAATAATCGACAAATTGCCACTTCCCTTTTCAACATGGCATAAACTACGTTCAGAGAAGAAATGTATGGTAGAACACTGATAAACAATATACAATGTTATTTTAGCTAGTCACATTTTCCCCTTCACAGCCACTAAAAGCATACACCTAATCGAAAAATAAATTTCAATCGTTTGTGCTTTGTATTTTGGGAAATTGCCGTCACACAGTATTGAACTTAAATACAATATATGCTTCAATTCCGCTGTTTGTTGAAGTCACAGTGGCCATAGGGACAATTAGTTCTGACGCATTAGAAAAATACACTCCTGAATCTAAAGTTATATTTAATCAGAACTAAAATTGTACTCGTTTCTACGTATAAACTATTTTCTACATATTCTGCCTTTATCATTTTCAGCTTATTCGTTGGTTTCTTATAGGATAAGTATGTTGAATAATAAATAAAACACAGAAACGAAAAAGGGGTTTATTGCAAAGAATTATGGAGGTAAGCATGTTCACGTCAAAGGATGCCGATAATCAGATGGAATAAAATTGCTATTTAATATAGGTTTATAAATAACAAAACTTTGCTATGCTTTTTACTGGTAAATATTTATAAGACCTTTGGTGATAATTGAAAAATTACATCTATAATTCTGGGCTTTGTAGAAATGCTTGATCTGTGGCTGAACAAAGAAAAATATTGTATGTTGTATAATTATGCTAGTCACATTTGGGCTGATATTATTTCAATGTTTCAGTTTGTCACTTGTGGAATCAAAAATCCGAACTTTTTCGAAATAACAGTATGTTATATATTAATTTTTATGTTTAATTATTTGCAGAATAATATTATTCTATCCGAAATTGAATTGAGAAAACAATTATTCGAAGCAAAGGCCGAAACCAAATTATGGAAAAACAGGTAAATATATCAATAACTGATTCCAGCTTTCAAATATTATAACGCAGTCTATGATATTTTACATATTACCATACATCAACTCGTCTGTAATGATATTCATGTTAATTTTTTTAACCAAATATTATTTACTGAACCCACTGATATCCGTTCAGTTTCATAGAATGTTTTGGTGTAAGCCACTTCTGTTACTTCACTTCTTATTTGCAACTTGTTTTGGTAACTAAGTTCAGTGTTCAGTCTCTCACAATGTGGCAATTCATAGTATAGTGTATGATTCAGTATTGTATTTCGCATTGCTCAGATATTTGAAGATGTCACAAGAGAAGTCAAATCAATTACAAACAATTGAAACGAATCTCATGCTGTTGGAAGCAAAGTTGCTGCAAGAACGAAAATCAATTAAAAAAAAACTGATTCAACAGAATCGCCTTTTAAAAGAACAAAAAGATAAAATAGGTAAGTGAATAAATAGGTAGTCTTCAGTTGCATAACTCCATGTGTATACTAGAATCTTGTGGAAGAATTCCCGAACCTTACAATAGTTGTTGGGTCTTCTAGTACGGGCGACACCGTTTGTTCGCGCATCACCGCATTGTAGTACGCGATCGTTCCGCTGAGAATATTGATGTTCATACTGTTGTGGTTAAGACAAATGGTAGCGGATTTCTCTAACATCTACGCCAATTTATTTTTTCTATTTTTTTCAATTGCAAATTTTCAGCAGTTAGAAGGCGGAGGTATCTTATAGAGAGTTATTATCAAGAATTGGAAGTTGGACCCTGCTTTAAAATCTCTTCTAATTCAAGTTAGCAGAAAAAAAACAGTACGTGGTGTGGAAAAAATCATCGCACAAAAACATCTTGACTTTAAAACGAAGTGTGTTTCTTCAATGAACTTAAACAATCACATTTACAGAGAACATATACACCTTGGTATATTCGAATATTTTGCTTCTCTCTTCTCTCTCAGTGATTCTACTCTTCTATCGCACTCTCTTTCAGTTACATGGACATTTATTACGAATGACCAAACAGTAACTTTTACCATTCCTTACTTAAAATTTTAAAACACCCTACCACAATAAAATCGTCACGCTAGAGCAATACTCAACTGTATGGACATGAAAGCCAAAACGAAGTAATACGGGTATCAACTCTTTTACAGTTCTGGCACCGTAATCTTCCCGATTTCGACTGATCACCGGGTCGCAACGATTGCAAACGCCAAACCGCCACAAGGTGCACAAATCTCAATATTGATGACCTCATCACACAAAAATTAATAGTGAAAACGTATCCCCTAGAGCGCACAGGAATTTTTGAAATAAAAATTATAGCCTATAAATAGTCCTATAAACAGCAAATATTCGGGAAACGTATGTTAATTACAGCATATATCTACGATACTTTATTTCAAACAAGATAGGCTACTTTCTATCAATATGGCGCGCTCTGCACACCTACCAAAAATAACATTTGCCATGAACATTTAATACAAAGAATTAAAATACCAATGCATCCTTAATTGAAAGCCATCCGATATTAATTGGACTCAAAAAATTGGATATCGCAAGTGTCTACTTCCCTGTGCTTTAGTTTAGTGTAGTCAAGTCAAGTCAAGTCAAGTTTATTTTTTCCAACCAGTAAAAAACAAAAAAAAAAACATGCAAAAATATAAAGAAAAAATGATATTTAAGTTACTGGGGAAGGGAAGCCGCGGGGAACCAAAACTGGTCATCGAGCTGCGACACCCAAGATTCTAATACCTAGTTTGACAGATCGGGGAGAAGAGTTTCAACGATTAGATACCATATAAATTTTACTAATTAGCTAACTAATTTCAATTGTTATATATATAATACTAGAAATTACCGTGCATTAAATGTGCCATAATAGCAGCGAATAACGGGGGATTTCCCGTTTGCACTGACGTAGCATTTGTAAATTCAAATATTTAAGCACTTAGTTGGAATCCACGAAGCAAAAACTCGAACAATGCTTCGTCTATTTATTGGCATTTGTGAAGACACAATAATGTTGAACAACATTAATTTAATATCACGAAACAATTGCACCAATGTGCACGTCACATGCATCTCGCTTTCAGATTTAGATATTTATTTTCGTCGTACAAGAAAAATTGTACAATTAAACAAAAATAAATAAATTAAACAAGTGACCATATATTTATACAATATTTTACCTGCAGTTGACGAGAAGTCTCAAAAGACATTTTATGCGTTTCGGGATCCATCTGATCTAACTTGAGTTAACAGACAGCATTACGTAAATAACTATTGCATGATTACCTCCAAATAGCCAAAAAGTGACATATTGAATACACCTGTAATTGTGTTTCCCACTTTCTCATTATTATCGCTTATCTGTATTTAAGTTTCTCCATTTCTGGTTATTTCTCATTGTTTTCATTGGCTTGTTTTGTTTTCTCGGCTTATGCACGAGGATAGATCATTGATCCAAGTTGGGGGAACATTAATGACATAAATAAAAGAGTCTCAAATATGTTGAATGATTTTTCGTTTTTTTTTTGGTTCCAAACAGAATAAATGGGCGATTCAGAAAATGCAAGCCATATTTAATTCAATTATATAATCACTATACATTGAATAAAAATGGAATTCTGAAACATTTTGGAAGATAGTGGGATGTGTAGGCTACTCACAGTTAAATTCTATTAACCTGATTAATTGTTATTAAAGTGTTGCTCAGAGTTTTGTATTTTTCAAGTAATTAAGAAATATACGCTTTTTAGAAAAACTTACTGCAGTGAATCAGAAGTTGCTTGCTGCTATGATGGTAATCAGGTACGTAGAGATATATATATAAATATATGTAAATGTTGTATATATATTTTTGAATGCAAAGATAATGCACGCACGATCAAAAACAAATGATTTTACGAACTTCAAATAAGAATTTAACGTGTACCGACCACCGATTTCGGATAATAACCGAGCAATGTCAAATAGTTCGGCCTAGTATGTGACGTTGTATATTGATGGAGTACAATCCTTGCTACATTTATTTTTGACCTAATATGATAAGTGTATTATTAGCCGTAATATATGCAGCCAAAGGTTATCTTCCGATAAGAAATTGTTTATTTCAGATATCAGAAACCTTCCAGAGAGCAAATTCGAAACGGTTCAATGAAAAAGAGCAATAAACATTTAGACACCGATATTTTCAAATTAGAGGATACGTTGGACAAGAAAACGGACACTTCTGAACCCAGAAAAACAAATAGACATACGATTCATAATCCCCTTTCAGTGAATGGAAGCGAATTGATAGCCTGTCGAGCAAGGGCTTATGCAGATCAAGTAGGCAGGTCCGAATCGGAGAAAAGTCCACGAACGTATTCAGAGAAAAAGTCTTTAACAAAACGCCCAGCTCACAGATCACAAAGTTTACCACACGGAAAATATTCGATCATGCTTTAACTTCATCAGGCTAAAATTCTTGGTGATACATAAAAAATGTGGATCCGAATTTATACAAAGCTTATCGACATCTAAGTCATCCAATGTATGTACCTATGTTCGGCCACGAGACATGTGAAGTAACTTTCTGCTGAGATATCTTCAGCACAAAATGTCAAAATATAAGACGCAAACTGGAAGCAGAAGCAATATTCCTACTGGTAATTCTACTATAAAATATCGTGAATATTGCAAATTGAAATCCTCAATAGTCACGATGCGATTAGGTATTACTAGATTTTTATTTAAATGAATTCCCATTGGATAATGTTGAGCACATCGTGCAGGAAAAAAAAGGGTGCTCATTTTTACGAATTCGCGCAATAATTGTGCTACTTTACGATAATTATTTAACTATCGCGTCTATTGCTTTGCTCATTCTTCATGCTTTCTCTTTTATTTATTTGCCAAATATACACTGTGTAATTTATCTTTCGCTTCAATAAATGACGACGTTTTTTGATGCTTCGCAGTTGTGCGTTGCTATTTTTTTGTAAATGATGACATGACTCATAAACTTTATTTACATTGTCCCAAATAGAGCGAGGTTTTTGGCGAACATATATATAAGCTGTATGCGACTCGCCAATCATTATATATATATATGAATGCACAAAATAACACATCTGTATGGTTATTCAATAGGTATATTGACATCAAATATAAATAACTCTGGGATCTTGACTCAAAATAGTACAGTAATAGACGCACGTTTTCGTATGAGCTTTCAAATAGTTATTATGACGAAAATCTAAGTTGCCCTTGACGGTACCCTTCAGCATAAATTCAGCACCCTTTACTGATTTCAAGTACGAATCATTAGCCTTACTTCTTGAGCTAATCATACAGGCCGTGGGACGAGGCCCTGAAAAACGGCTAGAAAATGAGTTTCGTAGCGCACATCTGAGAACTAAATAAATTCTGTAGTTTTGTATGAAAATGAACAAACTGAATGCATTGCAGCTTGTTCCCACTAACGAAAGTTGCACATTCTCTGTAAAACAGGCTTCAAAATTTTTATGCAAAAATAGTATATATATGGGATTCCCCGAAAATCAATAATCAATGGTTTACAACGACACAGAAGGAAAAGTTGTTTTCATTGTATGGAACTTTTCAAACGCATCAACTTTTATGCGATGAAGTCACAAATTAACACCGTGAGCACAAAAACACAAGTTAATCGGTTAAAATCCTGGTGCGAAATCGGATATATAGGGTTCCCAGAAAATCAATAATCATAGGCCTACAACAACACAGCATAAAATCTATTCAATTAAAGAGCCATGCTGCACACTAGCAAAAATGTATTTCTGTAACGTTTTGTCTGACCAAAATCAGACTTCCTCAGACAAGCAGTTTACAATAAAGAGCAGCATATAGAAGCTATCAAACACATTTATTTTTGAGCAATGAAGTCACAAATTTACATCGTGAGCACAAAACACAAATAAATTGGTTATTTCTCAGATAAATCTACCGGAAAAGAAAATCAAATGAATACAGCATGTACATAACATAGTGAACAGAAATATTACAATTTTTTTTTAATTTATCTGGTTTTGTATTTGAAACAAAAGCAATATTATTTATAGAAACAGGACCTTCGACAATAACACATGTCTGAAAAAAATATATTAAATAACACTAATTAAATTAACTGCAATATCTTATTCACTTTTCCCTGAATTGCTTCCGAAATCCACATTCTCGAAAATCGACTTTTCCTCTATAAATGGTGTGATTTTTGCAATCGATACAAAAACCTGTGCAATTCAGGTTGCTTGTGGCACACGCGCATAAATCATTTTAACGCCCATTTTCTCTTACACTTTCAGTTTGCCAACTCAAGAACTGATTTGGGGGAACAGATCCATCAATTTAACCCGCGAAACACCATTATCAAGACGCCATCTATGGCCAATAGGTGGGAGAATAGTTGACCTTGATTTTATTCAACAGTGATGAAGTCCTGCCTGGTAATTTGCCCTCAGAACATGCTTCTTCAGTGAATCATTGTTAGGTGGGAGAGTATAATCTGTATTTTTGCCAGTGTTAAAAAGACGTGCCCTGGTATCATTTACATTTTTTTATATCTTCTCCCTACAGTGAACAAACAAATTCCTCAGCTTTATTTATTAATGCCTCGTTAACCTCAAAAGATCTTCATAGTTGAGAAAAAAAATGAATTGAAAAACTCAATGAAGTTCTCCAGCATCAGTTTGATGGGCAGTTTCAATTGCAGAAAAGTGCCAAAGTATTTTATTATGAATAGCCTATCTAAGCTGTTTGCGACTGTTATCCTCTCATATATATGCTTCAAGACTTCTTGTTCGATCCATTTTATTTTTACGGGTATAGCGCTGATAGCAGCAAAGTTTAGCGCCTGCGTTACGTTGGATTGGTGAAACATTGTCGTTTTCTTTTGTAGTACAGTATCCAAAATGAGGAGGAAAATCATAATTGGAACAGCATGCGTGTAAAAATACCACCAAATACTAACTAATACTTCTCATATACAATGCATTTTATCTGATGTACTACAGTCCTGCAATGATTGCATACTAGACTATATCTACACTGAATTTCGATATATCACAGTCTGAAATGCCCTATAGACTATATTTTAAAACATCAACTGTCGGTCTACAACTTGATTTTCAACTCTCAATCGCTTCCAATGGTACTTTCTTTCAACTCCGGCATAACTTATCATTGTTTCCCAGGCTCTTGTCGACTGAATTCATTAAATTAATCATAAACCATTCATACAAGGAGGAAAATATCGTTGTTTGTGACATATTCTTACCTTGGGAGTTACCGTACCGGTACCTATTTAACAACGTTTTATGAGCTAGTGCTCATAGTTTACTTAAACTTTTTAACACCTTTTTCGAATAACTCGACTAATAACAACTGAAAAAGAGTATGGAAAGGCAACTCAACTCAACACAAAAGCGAGTAGGCATCTGATATTCATCCGACCACGAAGATTCATCTACAGCTGACCAATTTTAATTGTTACGTCATGCACAAGTCTGCGTTCATTGGCCGGTGATACCGGATGAAAAGAAGAGAATATTTTGTGTTTCTCCGAAAATAAGACTGGGTCTTATTTAAATTTTCTTCCGAAAATAACACTAGAGCTTTTATTGCGGGGGATGTCTTATATTTTCATTTATCAAAAACAAAAGTAGGGAAATGGGAGATTTTCAAATACACAAAATACGAAAAACGATATTCAATTACCTATAAATACCACGTTTTTATTCAAAATAACTGCAAAACATAGGTTATCAATCATTTAAAACGTGTAAAAGAGATTTCTTGTTATCGACTAGGTATAAAAAAATCCTTTATAGACTAGGTCTTATTTTAACAGGAGGGCTTATAAGAAAATCATTTTTAAAATTCAGGCTAGGTCTTATTTTCGGGGTAGGTCTTCTTTTCGGGAAAAACACGGTAGGACAGATGGTAACACATATTTATTTTAGTAAAAGCGTCTTTTCCGTAAAACTTGCAAATTTTGGAAATGGGAACAAGGCATTATTTAGTACTAAATTTCAAGAACAGGTCCTCGTTTGTATCGAGCTCAGTCACAACAGGTTGCCTCATTACAGAAAAGTACGGTATGAATGTCATAACGTAAACCACATTCATGCACATGATACGCATTACCGGTACATAAATCTAATCGTAAATATATACTACTACAGCTCTAATGGACCTTTCCCCGAGCATCGACTTCCTTGTTTACTTCGTGACATTGGCCAATCAGCAAGATGCAAAAAGTGACGTAACAATGCTCCATTTTCGCATCCGCAAAGACACTTTTCTCACTCAGACAGATTTTCAAGCGTGGTCGTAAACATTACGTCGTTTTCGCGTTTTTGAACTCTATTAGTTAGTTCTCAGTTGTGTTTCGGAAACTTAAACATAAATCAGATAATTCAATGATCACTCTGTCTTCCCAGGAGTTTTAATTTAATTGCAGTAATGAAAGATTAGTGTAGAAATAGCCGTGATAGACTAGACTAAAATTCTTTACCGGTATGTTTAAAAAGCAAATTGTTGTATGCGATGAATCATGATGATGGTTTGAAACACATAACCCATTTTACAGGCGCCAACTCGCAAAAGCACTCTTAAAATAGCCCCGAAAATTTTTCAATGGTAAAGTATAGAAAGAATTTTTCGGGGATCAAAGGTCGGGGAAAGGTCCATACATAACGCCAAATATAACGCTAGTCTTCAACTGGCGCACAGAAAAACTCGCTCTTCTCTTCTTCATGCTACGTTCTTCCGAGGCCCGCTTCCCAAACCCCATTTTCACTCTTTAGATTTTAACAAATGACACGAACGAACGTTCGGAACCATTAAAAAAAGAATACGATTCCGCTCTCTGACGCCACCTTATATTGATGATTTTCTCATTACCGCACGAACGGATCGTGTTTCGCTTTTTTCAGCTCGACAGAAGGTTCGTGTCTTTCAGTTCTATCAACCCCGTGTAACTCCGGAAATTTGGTCCCGGTGTTGAATTCGCCGACACGCTTGACTTGGTGCTGATAGATTATTATTGCTTCGAATATCATCGTGCGACTTTCTGCGTTTTTCTGTGTTCTGACGGTGCTGTCTCGCGTCAAGATTAAGTGAGTGACTTATAAATATTTAAGTTAGTTGTGCACTTGGAATATTACACGATATACTTGACTATAGAACTGATAGAATGCATATTACAAAACAAAATAGAGGAACAATCAATTGAGTGGGAAGGCCCCAGGACCGGTTCAGCACTCGAAAGCATATTGACAGTAAGATTTTAAATTCACTTTGAAGCTCCCATGAGTAGATGTAGTCTAGTAGAGAGCCGCTTTGTGCTACGATTGTTCAGCATAAAAAAGAGTAAGTTATAAATGTTCTTATAGGTACCCAATACAGTAATGATTTGTCAAGGAATGTAAATTTTAATAAGAGATATGTGTATCTTCGGATCATAAAAAAGTTGCAGTGCTGCAGTGTGAGGATTTATGCTGTGTGATCAAAGCAGTAAGCAAGAATATAAATTGACTGATGGGTGATTGAAATTGTGAAATTGTGACGTCTGTATGAAAAACATAAATTAAACACACATATTTTAACTTCAATAAATTAGTGTTTTATGATGGAGTTCTACTGATCTTGATAATTTTTTCTCAGACTCATTCTGCCATTGTATACGAAGTCACCAGCTGCATATTACAACATAAGAGGTGTTTTACGTTTGCGATGATAATCCATTTTGCTTGATTTCAGGCTGGTACTAATAACTTTTTTTTACATAAATCGGATACCTATCATTGCTATTATCTAAACATGGCCTCAACATATATATATATATTTATAATTTTAGATGTGCCAAAAAGTTTTGAATTATTTTGTCGAGTGTTTTTAAAATATTGATTCGTGATCAAAAGCAATAACTTTTTTGCTATTGCAAAATCCACCACATTTATTGAATGCATTAATATTTCTCCTGGAACCGTTGCATTTTTTTAATTTCAATTTGTTTTGTGGGGTATTCACATTTTTGTTTCAAATAATATTTTGTCAAAGTGGCTGTCATACTTATATATAAACACATACATGCTTAGATTGTAGACAAGGTTCAATCGTTGTGGGCAATTTATTTCAAAATATCGTAACTAAATTATAAATTTTTGCAGACGTCTCGAAACTCACTTTTGAAGAATGATTTGCTGTCACCAGATGGGGTTTTGGCATGGAAACATCTAGAGGGAATTTATGAAGATAAAAAACATTTGAAACAGCCATGTAAACTAACAGACCAACATGTTTAACTCAATAGCTTGATAAAAATGTATGTTAAATATTAAGCACAGGTATAGCACAAAGAATTGTTTTGGGTATTAATTCATTTGTATTTTCCTATTAGATCTAGTTCCTATTGAGCATTTAAATAGTTGGATCATGATTATTATTTCTAAAATTACCAACAGTATTCAGGTCAATAATAACAGATGAACCGGGGAAATTTTTCTTTGTAGGTTCTTCATGCATCTGTTGCTAGGATTTCGGAGATGTCTGAATTTGAAGCAACGCCAAGTTTTGCAAACTGCAAAATACCTTTTTTGACATATGCAACAGGCCAACAGCACTACTGACGTGGCTTCGCTCTGAAACGGAAATCTACTACTACTCTCTGAAACATCTGGAGACAAAAGACTGCAGTAGATCAGCTAAAATTTCATAAATTATTTTACACACTGGAAGTCTACAACAGGTGATTAGCTCAAGGATTTTTTAACTAAATAAATGCTATACAGCTACATGCAACACATTCTGAAGTCATATTCAAAAAACAACAACATTTCATTGCTTCTCCAGCGTATGAAGGGCTCCAAATACTGGTTCCTTCAACATGTTATATACCATATTAGACCAAACATCTGTCAGACCCCCCTTTAAGTGTAAGATAAAAGTCTTCTAAATTGTTTTACTATATAATACATATAAATTTTTCGTGGCTTGAAAGCCTTTTTAGAGTTACACCATCGGGACTATTATAAACTAACATTTGCGATCAGACCTGCTAGGTGTTTTGGTCTAACTTGTCAATTGAAGATTTCAGAACCCCCCCCCTTCAAAATCTTATGCCCGTAGGGCCTCACCCTAAATATTAAATGAATCGCCAAAAGATTTTCAGTTTAAGAGATGCATATTTTGCAGGTCGCGGGGCTGGGAATCCATCGGTTCTCCAGTTGATTGAAAAGCAGCAAAGAAAAAGAAATATGTAGCAATGTCCACGTGATAGAACCTAAATTGCCTTTTTACTCCAGCTAAGAACCACCCCCAAAGCCTTAAAAAACATCAATACCACTATTAATATAACTCGATATTCAGTGTTTATTCACATTAGTAATTAAAATAATAATTTGTATTTCTATGGATTATTGAGAAAAAAACTTGGGTACTCCAGAAATACGTGCGATATTCAGTGTTTATTCACGTTAGTGAATAAAATAATAATTTGTATTTCTATGGATTATTGAGAAAAAAACTTGGGTACTCCAGAAATACGTGCGATATTCAGTGTTTATTCACATTAGTAATTAAAATAGTAATTTGTATTTAATAATTTGTGCTGTATATTTGATCGTATTAGTATTTATTGAAGATTTAATGATAACTATACTTATAGGCCTACTTATGTGAAGTGAATACATTACTTGTTCTGCACGAAATGCTTTCATTGCAAAGTGCTTATGATATATAGCAATAAAAATAAAAAATTTGGATTTCTATGGATTATTGAGAAAAAAACTTGGGTACTCCAGAAATACGTGTACCAAGATGACGGACAACGGAACATAGTATTGTACCAGATTAGGCCATACTTTTAGGTACAAATACTACAAAACTCACTCGGTTAGTCCCTGAACTCGTAATAGAACTAAAATAAGGAAAGAGGAATAAAATTTTGGCCTAACCCTAACGTGGTACGGTGTCCTCATTTCTTGGTACGCATACTTCAGGAGTACGAAAACTTGGACTGTAATCACATACATCTTAATCTTCGTTCCAGCTGCTGTGTTTCTTCAATTGTTTTCGTATTCCATTAGTGCTATTGTCCATCTTGTTGTTATTATTTTGGCTGCAGTACTTTGCGTATACATTTGCTCAAATTTTTTGAATACTTTCTCAAGTAGTGTTGTTACATCTTGACATTCAGTTACATTGTTTAATAGGTATTCGCTCATGAATGATTTGAAAATATTTTCTTTTATATCAAGTGTCGGATGTTCAATGATGTGATGATGGAAATAAATTTCAGCTGCTTGCATGTGTTGAGATAGCCTTTGTATAATCATTGACTCTTAAAAAAGTTATTCATAGATTGGTTTGATTAATTTCTTGAGCAGAGCCTTGTGTTTTTGGGTTGCATTATTAACAGAAATTGCTGCTCTACCTATGCATTCCAGATTGTTGTCACATTCACAAAAGCTGCAGTGCGCAAATCACTGGCCTTTCGTTTCGTTTGATGCCGTTGAATTCTTTCTCATAATCATCACGGCAAATTTTTTACGTTTACTCATTTTATCTCTTATAAGTTCCAGATCTAAACTAAATTTAATTTACTGGTGTATTCATTTATAAGGTTAAAAATAAGGACACACGTCAAAATAAAGATGTTTCTTAGAAATAAGGACAAAAATATTTCCTAAAACAAAGACCTTCAAAATAAGGACAAATTCTAAAAATACGGACGTTATGGCAGCCCTGATTATAGGTCAAGTGGAGAAAAAACTTCTGTGAAAGCTACAATACTTGAGATGGAGTGAGACCAAAATGCTGTGCTACTAAGCGTTTTTTTTTATATAAAGTGCAAAGTATTCTTTTTCGTCACCACTTTACCTACTTCTGACTGACATTTTTTGCAATGCATCGCATTTTTGATGCCTTGCTTTCTTTCGACAAGGAAGTTGTCACATCATCCTGGTCATTTGCAAGAGAGACTGTGTCTTCATTTTCACAATTATTTGTTTATTTTTATTAAATTTCTTCGTCCTCCAGCAAATATTTCGATCAGTCATCAATGAACAGGGCTAGTTTTCGAGCTGTGATGCAAGAGCGTCGTCGTCGTTAAGCATCTTGTCTGAACAAAACCAACCGTGACGCCCGCCACTTGGAGGTGCAACATCGCCTTTGTTTGTTTATTATACGGCGAGCGAAGTTGGACATCTAGTAGTAGTATATATTTACGGTTCTATCAGTCTTTTGATTTTTTGTGATAACCATGAACGTGTCACAATTATATTCCACAGGTTTTCCAAGAAAGATTTTACTTTAGTCAAGGGCAACGTATGTTGTCCGAAACCAATTGGCCATTGAAAAGACGGCTCCCTTCACTATGTATCTGAACCTAATAAGTGGCTCACTAATGCCATACCGACAGACTGGTTACCGCGCCGAACGAGAGACCGTGGTGGGGCATATGATTACGCCGACCCCTGGGCTTTCTTCTCTTCGTTGATTGGTCATCCCCGAAATGTGGTAATTCTATTTAGGGGACATTTTCCAGTTCTGTCACTCCTTCATGCTTACGGACCAGTAATACCTTTGAATATATATTGCACAATTTTTTTCAGCCACCTGCATTATTAATAAAAATATCTACCGCTACACGACATGAAAAGAACCTAGTCCAAACTCCGGCTCTTTATTCCTATTAATTTTAAGTGACATTTCTCATTATTTATAAATCCTGGAACCTTAATCTGTGCACTTGGCCTTGCTGTGGCTTGTGAGGGAGAACTCTTGTATCGTGAGGCCAGTCTTATTTCTAAATGAATGTAAGAATTCTAGGAACATAACAAATGTTGCCATAATTGATTTACTTGTTCCAAATAAATCTATGGGTTTGTAAAAAATACTACTGGAGAAACCTACATTCGAAGAATTTTCATCAGTGAACCCCAATTACACCACAGAAATTGAGAGTTCTAAGCTTTCAAAGCATGCAATTGGATTGATCAGTAGCCATCCAGCTATATGACAATAAAATACACAATGCAAAATTTGTTGTTAGTGATTGTATTTTGGGCTTAGTTATTTCCAAAAATCATACACAATATTCACACAGCTGACAGAATAATTGTTGAGTTAACTGTTTGCAAATTAAAATTCCAAAACAGAACTATAATTAAAGGTCGATCAACTTGATCCTTAAACCAACCTGGGCGGAAATAAGCACATAAGTCGTACATATCTCATTGAACTGATGATAAATCAGATTGAAATGATATAATTACAAATCAACTACAATAACGCTTATAAGTTTATATGTGGTATGTATATCATAACAGGTACCAAAGTATGCCTGGCGAGGTAGAAAATGTATTCTCTTTACATGTGCATCATCATTTGATAGGATCTTAGAGAAATGTGCTATAAAATCCTATGATACACAATTGGGCATGACCAGATAATACATTTTCTCCAAAAAAAAAAAAAAAACGAAAGCCAAAAACAAAAATTATCTACTATTCATTAAATACAAAATATTAATAACGCATAATTTGACTTGATTATTATAAATCTCAAAAGATACAGCAAATCATCATCAAACTGGCAGCACACACAAGCAGTTACAAAGCCATTATCAAAACCATTGATATGATTTGGTAACCAGCAGAGGTGATGAGGTACTTGGTAAGCCTCTGACACATCCATTGTCTTATAATGTACAAGTGTTATATTGAGGCATCACCTGGTAGGTTTTCAAAAATATGTAAATTAATTTTTTGGTCCTTCTATCAATAGCAAAGGAAAAGTTGGAGACAAAGGATTCAAATAATAATAAAACAATGCTGCAAATTTTTGTGAACTAAGTTGAAGCATGGAAGGGTTGGAACTTTTTTTGCCAATAAATTCTCAAATTTAGCAAAATTTTTATGAAAAAACACTAAAATCAGTAATTTAGCATTGATGCAAATCATGTATATTACCAACAAAAACAATATCTGAATTAGTGTCCTCTTCATGTTTTAATACATGGAGGACTACAACCATATAACAAGGACAGGGGTGCAAATAATGACAACACATCAGCACAAAAATAAAACAGTATATGGTACAATATACATATGCTATGGTTAACAAAGCTAAATTTCTAAAGAAAATTATTGAATTTCATTGTTTTAATCAAGAAAAGTACCTCATTAAAAGTAAAACAAACTTCTACTGATCGTAACTCTATTTCAAAAAGAACAGTGCATCGAAAATAATCAACCAATTCGAATATACTGGTAAACAAAAAGTTAATTTTCTACACATGGTTGACAAAGATGCAAAAAATCCAAATAATATATTCGAATGTACTATAATGGGGTTAGTTATGTAAATTTATGCTTCGCCCTCACTAACAAATATTGTGGTAGTCCAAGAAACAATCTACAGCGATTCTTAGCATCATATTTACCATTTCAGAAAAGAAAAATTCAAGTATAATTTTTAGTTTTGCAAATTTACATGAAGCGAAATAACAATTATATTACATGGTTAAAGGTTTATTCTACATTAGGAATGTAACTTCTGCAAAATGCTAAGGGCAATAGATTGTGGAAGTGAGTCTGAATCATTATTAGTGACATTAATCTTAAACTGTTCCCAGAATCTTGATAAGAATATTTTTACCGTTTTTTTACTTATTGTTTTTTTTACTTAATTTATAAGGCCATTTCATAATGGGTATTGTTTTTAGAGATCAATAGTGATCAAAAGTTACATTCCGATTGCCACTAAAAGTAGTTTGCCTAAAATGAGCTGAACGTAAGTAAATTCTACAAAAAAATATGCATCAGTGGCACATGAAAGCAAAAAAAGCAACATCCATATATGCATTTGGTATGAAATCAACTATACCATAGAACAAAAGTGCAGAAAATAACATGATGTCAATGCTGTGGAACATAATATTATCAATTAAACAAAAATATTATACTGAACTAGAAAGACACTGAATCTTTAAACCACAATGCTGGCAATGGAAAACATAGAAAACCAACAAAAGTTGTGACAATTAGTAGAGTGTATATATTAAACTGTTTTATTGATTAAGCTGCTATGCAAGATTAATGTACAACTGCATTTTTACACTTTAAATCAAGCAAATCAAATACATACATACACACTGTATGAAAGGCAGTTTAGAAAAGCAAGTAAATTGGAACTCTGGAGCTGTTGAAAAACAATACTCCAATAGTTTCTCTAATCCGAAACAAAGAAAATTATATTGAAACTTGGATTGTCAAATGTCTTCCAAACATGTACAAAATTGCATCTGCGTTGATGAGCAACGATATCTTCATGAATCTACAAAGCGGTCGAAGTCACCTTCTTTTGTCCTCGTCGTTGAGCAAGAAACGAAGCGCCAACTGGATTCAGGTTGAGAGGCTTGTGAGATCGAGCAGCATTGAACATAGCTGACATCGCACCTTTAACACTCTTTACGTCTCGGCCTTGATTGAGCTGATATTCTGGTAACTGGTCAGGTCTGGAGATAAATGGATGAAGCAAGACTTGTGAAGCCGAGAGGCGTCTATTTGGATCAATGTGCAGCATACGACGAACAAGATCCTTGGCACAATCAGAAACACTTTTCCAGGTTCCACCAGAAAAACTGAACTTTCCAGCCTCAATCCTTTTCAGAATATCTGATGGAGTGTCATCAGGGCCATTGGCAAAAGGTGTGTAGCCAGAGAGCATGGTAAAAAGTAGCACTCCCAAGCTCCAAATATCACATGCCTCATCATATCCTTTCTTTTTCAATACCTCAGGAGCAACGAAGTTTGCAGTATAACAAGGTGTCATCAGAAGACCATTGTCATGTCGTAGTTGCTTTGCAAAACCAAAGTCGCAAATCCTCAGAGAATCTGGGTTTCCCACTTCATCCGCATACAATATGTTACTTGGTTTTAAATCCCTGTGCACCACACCACTTTTATGCATGTACTCGACTGTTTTAGTCACGGTGCGCATAACAGCAGATGCTTCACGCTCTGTAAAGAATTTCTGCCTCAGAATCTTGTCAAGAAGCTCTCCACCTTTCATTAACTCTGTCACAAGAAAAACTTGTTGTCCATTGTCAAACACATCTTTCAAAGTAATGATGTTGGGATGTTGTCCATATCTGAGTAAAATTTGCACTTCTTCCTCACAATCCCGCTTGCTCTTGTCAATAATTTTAACAGCATATTCTTTCTTGGTATTCTTGTGAAAGCATCTTTTACAAACAGAATAAGAGCCAATGCCAATTTCTTCTCTTTCCTCATATTCATCGTAGAAGGTTTTTGGTGACTGGGTGAGCCTGTTGGTCAGCAGTGCAGTTCCTGCAAGATCGCGATCACTTTTATTGTTATTAGTAATGCCTGTTTCCACTGGCTTGACTTCATCATTTTCAAAAACAGGAGCAACAAATGAGAATCCTCTGAAAAGTTGTTGTGCGGCAGCACTCGCGGGCACACCAGGTGAATCCCTCGGTGTTCGAGAAGTAAACTCTGAATCAAAGTAAAAAGCATCTTCAGCTCGAGTTGCAGCTGGTTTGAATGGTGGATCGATTTCTTTTCGCAGAAGCTTGTTCCAATCGATGGATGCAAAAAATGAATGGCGTTTTATCTCTTCTACGCCATCTGGTCCACTACCCAACCTATTAGTGGGATTGCGCTTAAAGAGCATCCTTAACAGACTTTGTGCATCATGGCTGAGAAATTGAGGCATTGCCAATTTTGCTTTCAATATTTGTGTCATAGTCTCCTTCCTATCTCTCCCCTGAAATGGTAGCTGTCCAGTTAACATCTCATACATCAGGACCCCAAAAGACCACCAATCAGCTGAATTGTCATGTCCTCTTCTGTTAACAACTTCTGGAGCCATATATTCCACAGTACCGCAGAATGAATATGCCTTTTCAGCTCCATCTATACTTTCTTTACTAAGGCCAAAATCAGTCAAAGCAATGTGACCATCAATATCAAGTAAAATATTTTCAGGCTTCAGATCACGATAAATTATACCTAATGAATGTAAATGATCCAGGGCTAGCGCAAGTTCGGCCAGATAAATTTTAACATCATCTTCTGTAAACATGAGCTCTTTCGACAACCTCGTAAATAAATCCCCTCCTCTCAGGAATGCAAGAACGAGATACAAATTTCCTTCTGTTTGAAAGGCATAATAGACCTTCACAATGAATGGGTGATTGACATCTACAAGGATATTTCTCTCCATTTTTGTACGCACTCTATCACGAACCTTTAGTTTTGCCTTCTTGAGGACCTTCATGGCATATAGTTGACTTTTATCCCAACCTGTGATTTTGCGCACCAAAAACACTTTTCCAAAAGAACCTTGACCAAGAACTTTTAATAACTCAAAATGTCCTGGATTGGCCTTTTCTCCCTTTCTTGTATGCTCTTTGATTTCAATTTCACACATACTGACATCATTTTTCAAGTCTGGAGCATCGACAGACATGTCATCATCCACCTCTTCAGTGAGAGGATTGATGTTAGCTTGCGTAAATGGCCCATTGGCAAAAGGGGCGAGAGGCATTGTGAGTGTAGCTCACAGCTCAAAAAATCAAAGTTGTGATATACTAATTTATGGCAACGAAAAAACTGAATTAATATGATAAAAAGAAAGAATAGGTCAATATAATTATCAGTTATCACAAATGTGCATTTGATGAATTACAATGGCATTTTGAGGTAAAAAACATCATTTGAGCTTTTAGAGAAAATTGTAAAAAAATAATGGCATTTTCTTAGCAAAATTCAGATAAAATTAATGAAATTGAATAATACAAGTGCTTAAAATGTAAAAATAGGTAGGGCCTATTGGTATATCATGTTGTAGAATTCAATTACGAATAACCAAAATTTAGATGATGATCACTGAAAGGAAATATGCAATATTGCTAATACCAGTAGTGAACTCTTTCCGCCATAAGTGACAAACTAATGAGATGAATCATACATCAAACTATGAAATTAAAATGACGAAGCTGACTACAGTCTGGAATGTTGCTGTTGAATAATGATGACATGCACCCAACATTCTATTTCTACACTTTATTTTCCATAATAAAGAGGATATTGAAACACTGATAGTTGATATTGAATTTTCTATTACTCAAAATATTACATTTTCACTTGTTTTTAAGACAACAGGTTCATGGCAAAAAATATCAGACAACAAATTCAAATCTGGCTAATACTTGAGAACAATATGTTATTACTCTTAGAAATTTACCATAAAAAGTATTGTACGAAAGCGTTTAGACTGGTCAAATTACCTGGTATATATTATGGAAGCTTAATAAAGTTCATCATTATCAGAAAACTGATAGTCACTGACAACAACTTCTTTGGTTAATCCGAAACAAGAAACAAGACCGGATTTTAAATTTACCGGTAATTCTTAAAAGAGGCCGTAAATTCAAGTTTATATTTATAAATTCAATTATTCCAGAACCCCCACAATTTTTCTAACTGTATTCTTACGACATCACACTTGTATATGTTAACTTGAAAAGAATTGAACTTTTCGTTCAACCCTGGTATATAATGAAGTATATATTAAGAAAAAGAAAGAAATATATTTCTAAAGCCAAATAAATTCTCAATATCAGAAATAATATTTAGCACAGCTTCATTTATAAAGTCATTATTTTGAGTAGGTAATTGAAGTTTGTATAACCAAATATAACTTCTTTTAATTTCTGAAAACTGTAAATATAGAGAACCAATCAATTCTTATGTTAATTTTCCTGAATCTCAAAATTAGAACTCATTCTACATAGATTGACTCCTATGTAGAATCGAAAATCAGTTCAATTATAACAGACTGTTGTCAGCTCGCCTTCACTGAAAGGATGACCTTTACTTCGATCAAATTTAATTTCTATAATAGGCTAATAGCCTCCTATATTATATAAGAAATATAGAGACAACAGAAGAGGATAACATAGATTCATCATATAAAACTAAGTTAAAAACAAAAATGACAGTGAAATATGTTAGTAAATATTTTATTCTGACACATTAAGATATGAGTCACCATGACGTGAATTGTGGAAGAACCAACCATCTTTTCAAAGCAGGCCATATGAGTTATTGTAGTCATCTGAACACTGCCTATCTATGAATCATCCTTGATACTATCAAACTAATGCTTCCCTGCATCACTGTGGATTAATTCTTAGATAATATCATTACAACACTTCAATTACTGTCTTTTTACTGGGAATACACTACTAACAAGTAACAAGTTAGGTAGCCTAATTTATATCTTCAATTTGTGATTATGCTGCTTTCGAGCTGTCAGCCTCTGAGTGTAAAAGAGACAAGAGTACATCAATATGTTATTTCAGCCAATATTTAGCGAGGTCTGTTACAAAATATCTACATCTATAGCTTTTCAGTTTATTGCTGTCTATGATCCTCTTTATGAGAAATTCTCCACGATTAGTGTACATAAAAACTTAATACGATAATAAGCTTACACAGGTTCTCTATGAAGACTGTTATCAATAGTCTATCTCTTTTGCTGAAAGTACCGGTACATGTTCCAACAGAAAACATTTAACAACAGGTAACTCTAGTGAATTGTGTTTTTGCCTAGGATACAGTTCTTATGCTCTATATTAGTGGTTTTCATCCTTTTTGGTGGAGCGGAACCCCAACAAAACGTTGAAGAGGCTTGAGGAACCCATGTGTAAGAGAGTAATTGTCTTTCATTGTGGTAACTATGAGTAAATATAAAACAAACCGAATACCGGCAATACTAGGTAAACGATTTTTTAAATAGTAGCAAATTTAATAATAGTGGCAAACTTAAAGAGTATTTTATTATATATATTCAATAAACATATATTAATATAGACTCTCGATTTTGAATGTAGACTTGCAGAACATAATTCACTCACAGAACGATAGGGTGCCACGGAACCCTGGTTGAAAACCACTGCTCTGCATTAACATTTGTTCATGATTCAATGAAATTGTTGATTGAATCCCACATCTTATAAAAACACCAATAGACCGACTTTTGCTTGCCAAATTTTATTTTTATTGGTATAAAGAGTGAACAAAATCTATGTTTTTCCATACAGTGGTTGGGACCAGTCAATTGGAACAGAAAATTTTTTTTCTCTCCTATACATGGTGTTTGAAGAAATGTATTTTTGAATTCTATGTAATTAAATTTCTGCAATAACGCTATTTTCAGTAACAAGTGAGCAAAAATAGCAATTTCAGGATCCATGTTAATGCAAATCCAGAACAAATTATGGTTTGAATATTGAGAGTATAATGTGCTAGGGTTGGTATTGCACAAAGCAGCATTAATAATTTAAGCTTGTCAGAATCAGAGATGGACAAAACTTGGTATTTTACTATTATCAATACACCTTGAAATTATATTTTCGAATATATATAATTCAAGTCATGCTCAACCAATAAATGATCAAGCAACTTAACCCTTACCGTGCGGTGGGCACATATACGAACCAACGACAAAACTCGCTAGATCGCGACGGGTACTTTAAGTTACCCATTGTTTTTTTTAGCAATCGGTCGCAAACTGTTGGTCTAGTTTTTCCGGGTTAGTCTTCTTCGAGATTAACATAAGCGACGGTAAATCTCGCTTCCGTTTACGACGGGAATTTTATTTGCGGCGGAACGAGGGAGTGTTTTTGAAATTTATGCAAATTTCGGTGTTTTTTGGGTGGTAATAGAAGACATATTATCCCCTCCATCTACCAAAGTTTTTTGAGTTAGATCACGAAATTGCTACAGCAACATTAGGCTATTGTTTGCCAACCACTTAGCGGTAACAGTAAAGGATTTAGCGAATATTTCTATTTTTTATCACGGTTTGAAATTTCAACTCCCAAGAAAAAAAATGCCTTTTTGCTATCCGGTTTGTGACTCAGACCCCCACTTTTAAAAAACTTTTTTTTTTAATCGCCAATTGCAAGCTCTTTAAATAAGCTTTTCAACGAGCTGTCAGTGGGCAGCAGAGGATCATTAGTTTTTCGTTAGTCGATCGATTAGTTGTGAGGGTACAAATGCATAAAATCGGCGTAGCAAATACGATTATGTAATAAAAAATAAAAATCGCAAGGAAAGGGTTAATAGTACTATGGAATAAAAAAACTAGAACCGAATGTTTAATAAAGCCGCAATTGAACTAGATAATCATTCTGACATTGAGTCTTGAGCATGGGGACACAAGGTAATATTCAGGTAATTACTTATCGATCTTAAGTATGTTGATAGGTATTTGTCTGTTTGTTTGTTAGATACATACGATATCTCATGAAAGCGAGGTTGAATCTGCTCCAAAATTTGCATGTGCATTTATCATATCTCGGACCAGAAGCCTATTGATTTTGGATGAATTATGTCGTATAATTACCGAGTTATTATTTAATTAGGGATGGGACACACAGTGTCGCCATGGAGTAAGAACGGATAAATCGAAACCGCAGTTTGTTTTGGTAGATCCCCTAACTTTCGATCGATAAGTCTTCGGTCTCCGATTGATATTCTCGTTTTATGATCAAACTATGACTGTTTCCAGTAAAATGCCTGCAGAACAAAATTTGTTTTATGGGGATGACTCAGCATAACTTTCATTGGCGTGCAAATCTCAGCTAAACACTTCTTCAATGCTCCAACATTTTATATAGAAAGTATTTGTAATATATTTCAGGTCAATAGACTCTACCCAAGATAACATTCAAATAGAACTTAGGGAGTGATAATATAACACTTTTTTCAAGTAGGAGGTGATTAACTTCTAATAGTTATTGTTTTATAATAGGAATGTACTGTAATTTGTATAATATGGCATGTCGCTACTTCTGACAGGTGCTCCATTTTTCTGCTTTTTTCGGGCATATATCACGCATGAAACCTGGGTTCGACACTGTGTCCTGTTATGTCAGAAGAATCTTGAACCACCATATGTAGTGAATTTTATCTTTTGTGGCAGGAATACCCTGATAGATTTATTAAAGTTTTCAAAACAAAGGTTCATTTTTGGTGGATGCGCCCACATTTTGAAGTTTTGGAACTCTGGTTTTCTGCTTTTACGTGAGTAGGTTCTAAATGCCTATTGTGGAACAGGTTAACAAGTTAATTGTCCAATAAATATATGCTTGGATGGTGGAGCAAGCTGACTCAACATGAACCGCATAAAGTTCATGATGACATCAGCAATAAATAATTCATATTTATTCGACATTGGATTGAAACACACACAGCGGTGCCTAAATTCCTTTTAAGGCTTTACATAATGCGACATCCATTGAGTCAATAGTGATGATGATAATACCCTATTCAGAAAAAATTAGGTCTCTAAAAAGGAACGATCAACTCTTGACTGTATTCTTGTTAAACCGGAGTACAAGAATATTGGAAAATATGACAATAGGCTTAGGAAAAAATAATTTCAATTAAATAATGGTTGAAGATGATGACTTCCGCTTGTTTTTACAAATACATAATTATAGAGAACATCTGAGGAAGTCTGATATAAAATCCTAACATTAATATGGAGGCGACCAAGTCAAAGCATTTCCTGTACTACTAATTAATAGTAATAAACGATATAGCAAACGGTCTTTCACAAGA